AGAAAACTGGACATGACACAATTTAAGCTACCACAGCTTATGTGACTAATGTGACCATAGAGTCAGGCAAGCAGATCAACTCAGTGTCCGTACTGATCCTTGGAATCTGCTGTTAATATTTTTGTATTTCCTGTCTATGCCGATGAAAGTCAGGGCTAACTTGAGTGTGAAGAGGTTCAGTGGTTGTCTCTATTCCTTTCTAAGCTTTGGGGCTTTACTTATACTTTTTCTTTCAGGCAGAATTCAACTTCCACAGTTTATCTTAGACCCCTCTAATCTAGCCGCATTATGCAGTTCGTATCGAGGGGTCATTTTTTAACAAACAAAAAAAGCAAGTTGACTTGAATATATTGTTCTGAGTAAAACTTAATCGCGACCCTATTTAATTGGCTAGCCAAACCTGATTTTATTTTGCTGAAGGATATTTTTATTCAAGATTAATGTGATTCATAACAACGTTCAGCGCGAATTTTATGTTTCGCTTTTGGGGGGATGTGAATTCCTGACTTTAGAATTTCACATCGAAATGTTTTACTGTAGAAAGAGTATTCTGCCATAACTCTAGCACAATATTCCAGTTTTATTTCGATTTTCTCAGGAAACAGAAGAAGAATTGTGTGTGGGTTCAAAAAGCATCGCATTATCAGTGCAGAAATATCCGATTTGCTTTAAGAACGGACATGCGATGTGAATTGGAAGCTTCAGTGGTTCTGCAACAAAGATCGCTTGACATGGTTATTGTTTTCATATCTGTCAACCGTAGCGCGCTTTATGTCGGTGGATAATTCTCTGCTCGACACAAAACTGGGAGGTTTCTCGTAATAGAAGAGATGGACGGGAAACATTTTCTTGTCTTACCATCACTGTTTCCGAGGTTAATAGTAGGATTTGTAGGGCTTCCGAAGTCTTTTATTCTGCAAACAAAAATGTATAAACTGATTAACGGTGGGCGAAGGAGGCTTAGAGGAGGAAATATATAGAGCAGCATAAAACATTTCAAGGCGTGTAAAAATCACGTGAAATAACAGGGACTACGTGAGCGTTCTAAGATCAAGCATGAGTTAATGTATTAGCCACAGGGAGTTAACCGAAGAACAAAAAAGTTGCCTTCTTGAGCTTGTTGTGCTGCTGTTTCCAGTAATGCATCCAAGAGATGACAAAATATGCTTGCGTTTGGCAACCGCGAGACCTTAATTTATGCACACATTTTGGAAACGTTTGCCGAACCTATTCTCTGGAACTGTAATTCGCTTATGGAGTCAAATCTCACAAACATGCAAACATCATCAGTAACGGACTGAATTTTTGCCATTTAGACAATGCCGAAGTAGCCGACGTTTTTGGCAAAGTCAGTCTTAAGCTAACACTCTATACTGAGGCTAGCGAAGGTTACGTCGAAACTTTGAAGTAAACTGACTTCCACTTAATACAACCACTTGTTCTCATGGGAACTGCTCAGTGAGAGGATGTAAGTACGCTTGTCATGCAATTTTATCAGTTAATTGGTGTTTACTTTTAAACTGTCCCTGATAGCCAAATTAATAAAATCGTATTTCCAATGTACTTTCCTAAAAATAGCTAACCTTAGACGGGGCGATACGATTATGCATTCAGTCTGACCTACCTACGTTAAATTAGTGTTTCGACACGGAATACTATAACATGTTTTTGACTATGCCCTCAGATTTAATCAGTCTTTGATTTTTATGACCTGCTGCGCCTGTCTGCCATTCCAAAGCCTAGTATGCATAGCAGTGCGCTCGATCGCCGCTGAAACTGTTTTATGCACGCTAGGTCATAACATTTACTCGGTGGTGCTATCGGCGGGGTCATCCGTTGGCGAATATGTAGGCATCTGCTTATAAACGCCTTTGGATAGTCATTCCGCATAAGGTGGTTGCGCTGTTTTGCAGCCGGGCGTATGTAGGCCTTAAAGGTTGGTCTAGTGAATGTAGACCCGCTTAAAGTGGGTTGTTATGTTATTTCTTTGCGATAAATGCGGATTTGTGTAGTTTTCGTTGTCTTCTCATAAACTGGAATTTTCAGTCCACCATCAGGATTTCCCTTGAGGAGCACATCATGCAGAGGCAACTGTTGGCTCGTTTTCTTCTGATTTC